AATACATATTTTGTTTTTACGGTCAAAGAGTACGTCTATATCTTTTTATGGTTTCCAGGTCTTTTCTTGTGGTTGTAGCCTTGAGGAAAAATAAAACTGACCTTTTAGGAACAAAGGGAAATATTTCATACCAAGTGGCAATGCTACAAGTAAAACACAAATTAAAAATAGCTACCAAAGAGTTGGAATTGCATGGAATTGCAAGACAGGGCACATAGGATCACTGGAAGAAATTGCAATCACATTATTTTGTTAACGGAGATATTTTGGAGTGGTGACTGACCATTGGAAATTAAAGTGATTTCTTTTTTTCCCCCTTCATTGAAATCAAGGATTTTGTCCAGTGTAAACGGAGTCCTACCTACACTGAAGTTCAAACGCTGGGGGCCACAAGACTGGGCCAATGTTTCAAGGTTTTGGTCAGAGGTTTGTTTAATTTGCTACTTCGAAAGCTGGGGAGTGAATAGCTACCTACTATATGTATATATGTTTGCTCCACATGATTTTTTATCCCCCCCCCCCCCATATTATTTCACTATGTGGCTTTGGCCGCTGATTAAAAGACTCTTAAGTTTCGGAAATCTGTTTTCTTGCATTTGCGCACCCACCTTTGACTTGACATCGCTAACGTAAAAAGGCAGCATTGGTTGGGGCAAAGACAAGCTCTGCTGCTGGATTCAGAATGTTTAGTATTCTGGGGTGTCCGGCATGTTGGAAAAGCACCGAGTGCAAGGCTAGCTTCGCTCCTGCTCCACACGGAACCCCGCTGCCGGAATCAGGATTGTTAGTATTCCAGAATGCCAATCGTGTTGGAAAAGTGCTGAGTGTGAGGCTAGCTTCGCCCGTGTTCCTCATCACACCTCGCCACCATCCTCCAAGTGGTCCTTCTGTTCCCGGCCCTCGAGTCGCCCTCAGCTGGTTTTCCATTTTGTCGGAGGCGTCTCAGAATGGCAATTAGAGCTGGACGGCCTGTCATTGCGGCAGCGTTTACCACGTCTGGTTATACTGCGAGCCGCTGCTGAGTTCTCAGAGTCCAGAAAAGATGCTTGCAATCTTTTGCAGAGGGTCATGACTCAGTGAGTTTGTGCCTTAGCATATGTCAAACGTTGAGTGACTGACGAAAGGCCCTTTCTGAAACTGACACAATTCGGTGTATCGTATCAGAACAGAAAAAAACATGAATGACACAAAATATCAAACTAAATTTACTCCTCCTTATATACTCCATGAGTGATATGAGTTCTTGGTTAATCATCACCTTAGGGGGTTTAGAAAATAATCTAATAGGAACATCTTAGCACACAATATAACCATTATACATATGTTTCGAAATGTTTATTCTTACAAAAACACAAAAGGGCACAATGCCATGGCTGGTCTTTTGAAAACAAGCCTTTATAAAACTGAGATCAACATTTTGTTGTTAACAATAGATGAACAACGATGACTTTGTCTGCTAGAGTTTGTGGCTTTTTTGGAGGGGTAATGAATATTTTTACAAAGGAGTTTTGGGTCACTTTGCTGTCTTTTGCCTGTAACACGACAATAACTATGAGAAGAAAATCAAGAATTTTGACATTGTTTGAATATGTTTTTCCTGTTTAATTGTAGTGAATAATCTTACAAATATGTATACATGCCAGATTTGTAGAAAAGTTGATAGAAAATGTACTGATATTTGACTTTTGTTCTAAATACACAACAGTGTTGAGTTTCCTAAGCCACTAAAAAATTCTGGATAATTTCATAATGCTGATATGAAACGTATTACAAATATGCAGGTCATCCGCATAGGTGTCTCGGTCATACAAGGTGATTTTAATTGCCTGTTTTGTCCCTGAAATCCAAAGCAAGACAAATAGCAGCTCGATTTCAGTGTAAAAGAATGTCATACCATCAGCACACCACAATGATGTAGCAGTACCAAAATAAAGCTGAATTCTTTGACAGGGTGGACGCTAAGTAAACACCCCTGTTCTGCCACATGCAAGAATGTATGTTTTCCCCTTAAGTAGGGAGCAGAGAGTTTGTTTTTGCATTGAAAGTATATACTGTGAATATCACAGAGGCGGACAGCTGTGGTAATGGTGCATTCTGTCAAGGCAGCGGTAAAAATTAAAAAACAATTTCTGTCTAGCATGTCAAATGCATTCTGAACCGAAACACGCTGGAATATTTTTTTATTTTTTTTGTTGTTGTTGAGTTGTGCCTTGGAACGTCAGCCGAAATGTAATGGTTTTAACTGGGCCGCGGTGATTACTTAAGCTGGAAACCCTCAACGGTAGATTTGCCAGTTGATTAGTCTCTTGACCTGTCATGTGCTCAGGCTTGTAGGTTTTTCCGTACACTGTCACTGTCCTTTGTCTCTGTTTGCTGGAGCCATTTAATGACTCTGCAGCCAGGCCTTGTTTCATGTGGTTCTGGGAGGAAGACGAGCAAAATCAGTTTTGTGTACTGCGAGCGTAATTGTGTACTCAGACTTTAAGGCTAAAAGTTACATGTATATTTAGTGCTGCAATGATCTTTTAAAATGCAACACATGTGTGACAGTCTCAGTGGAAGGAGAGTTAAAAGAATGAATTATGGTAAGTGACATAAGTTTACAGCTATATTTTTGTGGTGAAAGAGGCGGGCTGTGCATAAGTGAAGAATGTAGTTAATATCCTCTTTTGTATTTTTTTTGGTGGGTGGGGCATATCTGTTTTTGACTGAGCATAGTAAGAGTGTTTTATTTTGCGATGTTTCACTTACCCCCTGGGGGGGAAACCAAATGAGAGAAATTTTATTCTAATAATGCCCTTGTTACTGTCACACACAAATAAAAGAATAAATTGCTAACTGCACTTTTTATATATGTATAATTATACTCTTTAGCGACAAACTAAAAACAATGAATTATTAGGCTTCTTGTAAACAGTAAATGCTGCTTGTTGACGGGTGCCGCCGGTGTAAGCGTTGTAGGTGGATGTGGTATTGAGATGCCGGCCGCTGTGATGGTGGTGATGTGCAGACCTGCCACTTTCCACTGCTGACGGCATGTGAAGGTGCTGTAGGAGGTGAAGCTCCGCCTCCTGACAAACAGCCTGGATGCAGCCGCTCGATTCACCAGTATCAGATCCTCACATGATGCTCCTCAACAACAGAAAGTTTGTATGTTTGGAAAAGTCCAATTGACTCATTTCATCCTCATCCTGCGGAATAACTACACATTTTTAATCGTACTGGTGTTAAACAGCATTTATTTTGTATAACACAGCATCAGTAGTAGTATTATAAGTCAGTTATTATTGTGCTTCAGTGAGTAATGCCCTTTCACACGCTCTTCTTCACTTATACAAGAATTTAATAACTTTCCAAGTGCGTTATGCAACCTATGTACCGTTTTTAAACTATTTCATGATTCATTTCAGCTTTAATTGAGTTTGAATAACAAATCTTCAGAGTTTATGCTAGTTCTTCTGCATAGTTATGTGATTGTAAAGGACAAAAATGAAAATTAAAAAAAAAAAAAGAAAAATCATGTCATTCCATTTAAAATATACCATGGAAAAAACAGTTATAAAAATTTTAGCTAGTTGTGCCAGATAAACTATATATTCAACACCTTTGATGCTGCAACTTGGGGGAGTGACTTAAGTCTATATTGCATGTATGGGGGGGGCAGTATCCCATAGTGTTTGAATGTAGCCTTGAATGGTGCCAAACCAAAGCAGAGGTTACTGTTTGTAGAAAGAGGTTTAGGTATTTTCCTGCTTACAGATGCGTGTTCAATGTCTTTCTGTGTTCATTCTTCAATCTATAAGGAGTATTTTGAAATATTATTTTTGAGAGTGATTTGAGATGTTCTCTGATTTGCAAAAAAAGCAACAACTTTGATGTATTTTTTCCAGCGGCTTCCTGCTATGAGATCCTTGCACATGAGTACCATAAGTACCTGTGTGTTGCAGACTGGACATGACTGAGCCATCTTAGTATTTATTTGCTTTGAATGTTTTCTGTTTACTGACTCTGGCTATTTTTAAACATCCTCCTCATTTGCATTGTGGGGTCCGTTTCCACCTCTGCGTGTGGCACTCCGGGAAAAACACCCTGCAGGAACAGGCACTCTGGTGGCCTAATGGGCTCGGCGAGGAAGCAGCGCAGAGCACACAGTTAATCATCAGTTAATCATCAGTTAATCATCGCAAGTGTTCCATGCGTTATTAATCTCTCATCGATAAATAACCCATCTCTGTAGTTGTCACAATGGCGGAAAATGCCCACATGTTCACATCTGATGGCAGAAATGAATCATGAAAGGCAGTTTGCTACCTGAGTGGAAATTAAAGTGGTTTTCTTTTTTATCGACATTTAAATACTGTCATTTCTGTGGGCTGCATTCAAAACTGTGAATTAATAGAAAAATATGAAAAATTTAATTCCACTAAGAACAGAGTAGAGAGTAAATTTTTTCATGTAAATGAATCAAAATCAAATTATAAACAATAAGACAGTTAATAATTGGCCATGGGATTTTTGTACTCAGTTCCATAAATGTTTGCTGTTAATACTCTTAGTCTTATTAGTCTGTAATTCCCTCAGCAGGTGTGGCCAGGATTACTTTTGAACATGAAGCGTTGTTCATGTTTAAGTTCCCGGCCCTGAGGACATCACGTGTTAATAAAGGTCGGTTCAACTTACAGGCAGACGTGCACATCGCTTATGGGCAGTAACTGAGACTGCGGCCCACGGAGAGCTACCTACCGGTACTTAGTGCAGATTTCAAATGAGAGCCTCAATGGCAGGGCAATTACACAAAAAACACTTCAAAAATAATAATTATACATTCAACATTATTAAAGGGGATTAAACAGTCAAATTATGAATATTTTTGCAGGATTCAAGCATTGACATTTTTTAACAGTTGCATTTAAGGACTTTAAGTAAACACACATATGCACTCTGACATGCTCCCTCTAAGCATATAGTTTCAGATGTTAGCTAAGAACAAAGACAGACCATAAAATCCCGCAGGTTTTATTCTCCAGAATTAGCAGAACAAACGAGCTGAGACACTTGTGTACATCAGGAAGGTTCACCAGCAATGGTGAGGCATGGAGCTCTGAGGGAAATGCGGACGAATTGCTCTCCGGTGGTCCTGCATCCCAGTGGGGGGGTGAGGGGGGGGGCAGCTGCGGGATGAAATGACAGGTACATCACACATTTAGTGTGCTCACCCCACGGGCAAGAAATGGCTGTTTGTTTACGTGGTGTAGTCCCATGTAGTATAGGGGGTCCACAAACTGAGCCACACTGCAGACAGAATGTTCCTTATGGGATTATAAATATCATAATGGCTCCTGGTGATATATACAAGGTGAGTTTTGTTTGTGTTTGTAAGCCTGGAGGCCTGCCTGGGTCATTCACTGTATTTAGACATATCGATGACCGTCACTACTCTGCAGTCTGCGACTTTTTTGTTTTTCTCAGACCTGTGGCACCCTGGCAAAATCCTGCACATCTACTGGGCCAACGGAATTGTTTCCTGCCGACTTCCATGGCCCACCTGAGATGACACGGTCTGCCCTGCATCGTGCCCAAAAGGAAGTAGAAAGACAAGCTGCACAAGCGCTTCTCAGCTGCATAAACATGGCTGAATTACAATTCGCCATCAGAAACGGATCGAAACATACTGACATTATAGACCTCTGTAATTAGAGTAATTGTGAATAATTCATACTTAAAGGCAAAATTGTAAGACATTTCCTATTTTTACTAATCTTCAGTACTACTGATACAGAGAAGCTCTGCACAAGTGGATGTTATTCATTTTGACTATTTCTATACCTGTTCATCCTGGCTCGTTAAAGAAAACGACTTGGATGGCGATTAAAGTCGACGGAGTGCATTTGCGAGATCTCCATGGAACCGAGTGTGGTTGTAATTCGCCCCAGTCGAGAAAAACCTTTCCGAGAGACCTGAGGGGAAAAGGGAAAGACAGAAAAAGAAGTGTAATGACAATTTTCAGACATGGCATTTTTAATAATCGGCCGCTTATGAGAGCTCATCTATGAGCCAGGTGTTGGTAAGAGGGCTTTGGCTGCAGACCAGAGTACTACCTTCACAGTGCTCAAATATTTACCTTGTTCAAAAATGTATGCTGCTGTATTGGGATTGGAATAATTGAAGCCGTTTTAGTGCAGGGTGGCCCAAGGCCAGGGCTGGGGAGTCCTGGTGTCTAATGGGTCGATTCTGGTGGTCCGTTAAAAGGAACAGGGCAGCTCGGGGATTGTTTTTAAATTTCTGGCAGGCCCAGACGGCAATAATTCAAACAGCTGTACCGATTCCAGTGAAATAAAATAAAAATAATGACATAAAACATGAATTTAAAGAAAGTTAAAAGGAAGGAAAAGTTTGGAATATGTAAGGGCTTAAGTTCGGGTCAATGCCAGGCAGAAATATATATACATATATATATATATACCCATCCATCCAAGCATTTTCCAACCTACTGGGTCGCGGGGGGTCCGGAGCCTATCCCGGAAGCAATGGGCACGAGGCTGGGAACAACCCTGGACAGGAGGCCAGCCCATCACAGGGCACACTCACACACCATTCACTCACACATGCACACCTATGGGCAATTGAGTAACTCCAATTAACCTCAGCATGTCTTTGGACTGTGGGGGGAAACTGGAGTACCTGGAGGAAACCTCACGACGACACGGGGAGAACATGCAAACTCCACACACGTAACCCAGACGGAGACTTGAACCCTGGTCCAAGAGGTGTGAGGCAACACTGCACCACCATGCTGCCCCTATATATATATAATACCTAATTCACAAATATATATATATAAAAAAAAAACTGTACTAAAAAAAAACACTAAAAATGCCTAGTCTTGTATTTTGTTTGGTTACTTATTGTTTAGGATCAGGACTGCATACGGGTTAAGGTTGTCATTGTTGGGATTAGGATTTTGCCCATAGAAATGAATGGTCGGTCCCCACAAAGATCTGAATACAAACATGTGGGTTATGCCCATAGAAACAAGTGATGAGTGTCTACAGCGATGGGAGTATACTTACTGTGTGTATGTTTATATATGACTGCGATATATCGTTCTTAAGGAAAACATGAATGTTTTGAAATGCAGTTCTTTCAATTTAAATATATGTTGCTCCCGTCCGTCGCCGCATGCTCAGTATAACTGACGTTTATGGGCGTGTTACCTGTGGACTGAAGGTAGACGCCAGCACCGGCCCGAAGGCTGGGGCGCTTAATCAGCCGCTACACGTCAGCACGCGGCCACGAGCCCTGCTGGGGTCACGCGGGCATCGGCTCGCCCGCAGGTACGAAGTGTCGCTATCGGTCCGGTGTCCACATTGGGCCTTGGCCGGATTTAATCCCTTTTCCTCAGAATTTCCACTGATGTTAGCATTTCTCTGTCGTTTTTTCTTTTACTACAGTTAGCGCAGAATAAGTACCGTTCGGCTCTTTTATTAAAAAGTCAACAGGTGTCCGACTGTGACAGGCAGAATTTTAACGGACAACTGCGATTTGTGAAATATGGTAAATGGATAATTTGTCCCTAAAACTATAACTAATAAAAATTATTTGGCCTTGTGGGAAAACACACAGTTTCATAAGTCTAGGGTTGGGTGGTTTTTTTCTGGATTTTTAAAAAAATATATTTCAGTAAGCTGCTCCATATTCTGGCTGTTTTAGTACAAATATGAGTTGAAATCTAATTCACTTCAACAAATAACAACACAGGACATCAGCTTCATAATTCTTTTTATTTTTATAATTCATTTGTAATAAAACAATATATTGATCTTTAGCTGCTGCCCGTAGCATATTCTGTTTATTTAGTATTCACAGTAATCAGTTGTAAGTACCATATCCAGGTCCGATAGCTTCCATAATAGATAATAGAAGCAGTTAATTATATCCAGTTCCATTAAAACAGATAAGATGTGGTAACCGGTATCTGTAACTGGAAGATTTGTTCAGCTAAATAAAAGCCTAGTTGGAAAGTATATTTGCTCAGAGTAATGGTTGCACGAAATTTTATAAAGGAAAAAAATTGAAAATTGAAACATACCATTCCTATTTACAAACGCGAATCAGTGAAACTGATTATGATAAATATAATTGAGTAAAACTCGCGTTGATAGTCCTGTTTTTATTAAATGCCCGGGTCCATCGTGTGCAATTCCAGTTAATATGACAGAAAATGATGCGACTGCCATGATAATAATGATCGTATAATATGTACAAAATGTATTCCATACATTCATATTCATGCCAACGTAGATCAAATAAGTGAATAATTTCTCTGGCAGACAGATGTCGACATTTTAATTTAATAAAAATTGACTTTATTTATAAGCATTTTCTAGTGGAGTCATACTATTCTCTGATGCGTCTGATTAAAGACCTGACCAAAATCATGATTAATTGAAAAAAGATACTTGAATTACACGAATGAGTCTTCATATAACGATCCAAAATATATATTTACGCTACTATATATAGGTCACTCAACAGGACGAGACTGTTTGATCCGGCCCCTTTAACCGTACATTAAACATAAAAGGTCTCAGTTTTATCCCACTTTATTCTTAATTTAGACGTCTGGGTGTTTTCGCGGCTTTCTCAGGGCCACATGTTCACAATCCATCCGTTAATCTCTGTCTCTATTTAGGAATGCATAATGAATTAACCGTCTTGAAATATCTTTCGCTTCACCTTTTTCATTTACTTTGCAAATGTTTCCGTTTCTTACCTACTCTTAACTACTCCGTTTCCCCTGCGAAACAGATGGGACTTGTGAACGTGAAATGGATTCTTTGATTCTGATTTATTTTCTATTTTTTATTTTTATTTGTACGGTAAACAGAAATCCAATTTAGGCTGTTTTATTTTACGATTTTCTGTGTTATAAGTAACATGAATGGGTGTAACTAAAACGACTGTTTTAGTAATTAACAGCATGTCTGAGTACAGTTTTAATATGAGTATTTAAGATAAATTGAATTATGGATGAAATTTACATTCAAATAATGGACGGTAGAGCAGATATTGTTGACACACATTTAATATTGTCTTTTGAATTTCTTTTCGGTTACACTTTTCTCATTCAGTAAAACGTAATTTCTGTCCGGTTACTTATTTCAGCACTGTTGTTATTTTCGAGGATAATCCAACCTTGCAAAGCTCAGTCTGGTTGCAATATTTACGCTATTTCTTTCTGAAACTAAAGAGGCACTCATTGTAGTGTATCCGCTATTAATTATGGTGTCTCTGTTTCTTATGTTATGAAAGCGGGACAGTAGCACATCAGAGGATCCTACGCATTATCCCCGGGAAAATCCAAGCCTCCTGGGACAAGGTGAGCTGGATTTCATTCCCCCTGAGCGCTGCATTAATTAACCCTGATTAGCTGCCGCCCGCATGAATTTGCACAAGTTAACTTAAACCAAATATATTATTTCAGGGATTGATATTATCCTGTACTTGTTATTCCAAATTTATGTCAGCTGAGGAATAGCTTAAAGTAGGAGAACACAAAGAAACCACTGTTGAGTTTGTTCCAGTGTTTTCCCCAACTACCACAGACACATTTGCTTCAAATTCAAATCAAATAATCTAGCCTAGCAGCTAGATTTATTAATTATGGGCAATATAAAGCAACCAACACATTTTATTATTCATAAAGGGAGTAACAGCAGGCCACATTTTTGGAAGTCTCAGAATTTATTGTTTTATAATTATATTTATACAATGTAGTTTTCCCTCAATCATGTAGTTTAATAACATTATTAGCGCTAATTTAATAAATGTTAATCTAATGTAAGAAGTCCTTACCTCAATAACAAGTTCAGTTTATTTTAAATGGATTCTGGGAAAAGTACGTGGTACCTCCTGCCTTTGAGGACAGGAGGCGTTGATCACCACTCCATCATGTCCACCACCATATTCTTTAGCAAACAAACCTTTGATGTTCTCCTTAATGTATCTTTAATAATAATTCACCACATTACCTGTGATGTTAAGAGTCTTTTGGCACTGTTGTGCATGTGACTTTGAGCAGTCATCAAATGGGCTTCCAGGTAATTGTAATTTTTAAAGTAGAAGGCCTTTCGTTCTTAAGTGTGACGTGATGACAGACAGACAGTGACATCGTGTGTCTTACAAAACCACAGCCCTCCTCGCTCTGGCTTCTATGAAGCGCCCTTTTCCCGCATTGCTCAACACAGAGTCTTGCAGTGATTGGTTTAGGGCGCTTTGCTTTCTCAGAGCCCAACATTAATAAAAAGAAAAATACCTGCGGGTTATGTGATGAAATTTCTGAAAAGTCATTTTTGATCATCTGAAATAGTACTTTTTTTCAGAATTAAAAATAATTCCCCTTCCTCCTTGGTTTTATAGTTAAATTGTTTCAGATTTTTAATTCTGCTCACAGTCTGTCTTTTGTAAGTTACCAAAACATGCTAGGAGACTGATACCTTGCTCTGTTTTGCACTGTCAGCCATTGTCTGACTGTATCGCAGATCACACAGTATTAACATTTCTGCATGGAGGCAGACATGAATCCTCCATAAGCATGTTTACGGAGTCTAGCACCACATGACCTTATGACATCACAGACACGGCCACAATCACACAACAAAACCAGGGTGATAATTATGGTCATATAGCATCAGCATACAGGTTCTGCTTTTAAATGTTCAGTCAGTGTGATTCATTGGTACACACAAGGCCTGACCCTGCCTAAACTGTATAACAGAAGCAGATTTATATTTTAATTTGGGTTTTAAAAAGATATCAGTTGTTTGTGTAATTCTTGACAAGAGATTGCTACTCTTCACATCCTTTTTAGAAAGGATGACAGTGCTACAGTTATTCAGCAGAGAAAAAATGAAGAATTATACTTCTGGCAACATCGCTGGATTTATTTGGTTGTAAATGTTGCATAAGTACTATTAGGTCATACAGTTTACAAGGCTAAAAACTATCATGCAGGTTCTAACTTCCTACACGGGCAATTTTTGAACCGGCTGGAAGGTTTGAAAGCTTATGCTACCACCTCTGTTGTTTGACAGTGATTTTATGCAAATATTGTTTTGTGATATTAAGGAAAAATAGCAAGAATTGCAGTATATTGTAGTGATATATTTCCTGAGGAATCCAGCAGACGTATTTTAGTTGTGGGGGGCATCCTAGTATGGATCGAGGGGGGTCATGTGGCAGGTGCCACAGGTCACCGTCTGCTATGACGACTTCCATCTGACCCTCGTTAGTTGAAATAGCTGCCCTGATTTATTTTAGTTCCTGACTAACTAGACTATGGAGAACAGCACGGTCCCGTATCCAGCGTGTTTCTAAGAGCCTTGTTGACTTAACGTAAATGGATTTCATGCGCTGATTTTACTTTTCCTTTTTTGGTATCTGAATGATTTGCTTCCGTTTTGGCTGCCCTGTTATTTTCAGCTCCTGTAGATAAAAAAAAACACTCTGGTCTGTTGCAATTTTCCTTTGTCACATTAATCTGTTTGCCATCTTGACCAGCTTCTTCTGATAGTTTTGATATTCTCTGATATTTTCATGTGTGATTCTTAGTGTCAAGAGTGAGCATTAAGTATTTCTAACTTTGCTTGTGCTTTTGTGTTGCCTTCTCTTAGTCGTGACCCATTTTTGGGAGACTTATTTCACTGATGTTACTTTTTTCACCCTTAGAGATTCTCATGCAATGCAGCTGTGAGTGCAGCCAGTGATGAGTGGTTTTGAGCTGAGAGGTCCTTGGGCTGTGGGCGTCCATAATGAGCACTGAGGTCGACCTCTAGCTGGAGCTGCGGGTTCCACACGATAACGTGATGATCCGTAACAACGGAGTCCAGCCTCTTTTCAGCTAGCTCGCCTCTTTTATGGTACTTGGCTACCATAAAGGCGTAAGATTCCACCAGATAGACACCAGAAAATCATTTTTTGAACAGCCCCTCCTACAAAATGTGGACTGGACCCTTTTTCAGTGGTGCAATTACGTAAACATTAATCTGTCACAAAACACATTTTGTAAACAATTATCACGCTATGTATTTATGAAGCATTCATGTGAAAAGACGGATTGTGCATTTATTTACTTAGCAGACATGTTTATTCACCGTGACATACAGTTGAGAGAATAGGGTCGGACACTGCGTGGAGAAATTTGGGGTTAAGGTACTTGGTCAAGGGCCCAACACTGACATTACTCTGCTAACCACAGGATGCAAATCAGCAACCTTTCAATCACAGAGTCACACACCACCACTCTTGTTGTGTAGGTTTAATGTTGCTGAGTAACAAATGATCAAGGATTTCTCATATGCATATTTTCCTAGAATTAAACTAGTCATATCTGCTCCATTTACCTCATGAAGCCCAGCCATGCTTGAAAAGAGCAGCTTGTGTGTGAGCGCTGAGCATTTGGAAAGAGTGTAGGACAGCACGAAGAAGGATTCATACAGTTCGGCTTTGTTGTTCAGAACAGTAGTCGGGTCAGTTTTCTGTGGCCATTTGTCAGATAAGGCCGTTGAAATGCAAGAGAGCGTCTCCTAATTGACTCTATCCACGCTGTCATTAGTGGCCCCACATGTGTTTTCAGGCAGATGCCGGGACGACCCGGCCTGCTGACTGATGCCGCCAAGGCGCTTTCTTGATGAAAGGGAGGAATATTGTTGCAAACCACTGTCACCGAATCATCTGCGTAATGGGGAACAGGCAGCGGGAGCTGTCTCACTGTCCGCATCTCCGCGCCCTTCTCCCCCAGTCCCAAGGGGCCTTAGATGGGGTGGTCTTCCATCTTAAGGCACCTTAGCTTCTGCCAGAGGTTAAAGCTTGCTTATGGACCCATCGGTTTTCCCTCTCTTTGTCTTTTCCACTTTGGAGCGAAGATGAAATTGATGACGTGATAATGGCTCACACAGTGAAATATCTCCAAAAGTCAGGAGTTTTTTGTGAAGGCAGCTTATGATCTGTTTTGCACATGGCAAATTTGCAGGCAAGCTCTGAAGATAAATACAAAAACTATATATTTTTTAATGTTTTCAGGAAACTGTGAAATGTGTGTGTTTTAGAAATGTAAGTTTTAACTGCTATACTTACATGTTATTAACCAAATCTGCTTTTCACTACTTGTGATTGTAGTGTCTTGCTGACAGACTTTACAGATTATGTATGTATTCTATCATTTTATTAATTCTAGTATTTTACTAATTTAGCTAGTAATGAAAATGATATTGAATGCACTGAAATACTATTTTAGTTAATTACATTATGAAACTTCTCAAGGCTGAATATATGTAAAACACACACACCCAAGAATAACTAGTAATGAGTATATGAAAGTCTCTGTAATGCTTTGTCAGGTCTCCAGGTCAACCAGATATGATGGTTACAATACAAACTATTACCAATTTGAAATCTATGTTCTACACCATGAAGTTTTCAGTCTACTTGCAAATGAAAAAAGCTTATGACGTTTAGAACATTGTCAAAGTTGTGAACATCTACAGGGACAATTTAGAGGGCTTAGCAGGAAGGAAAAGATTAGTATCATCACCATGGAAGGAGTATTAATGCACAGTCATGATTTTGCCTGGATGTCTAATGAATTAGGGAAGCCCCCGAAGGTGACCAGTTCCAGGCTAGACAGTGGTAAAGTGTTGAAAATGGCTAAGAGGTTCAGGAGTATCAGCATGATAAGAGATCTGAATGTAGGCCATCAACATTAGAGAATCCCTGTGGAATGCCAGCTAGCTACTGGAGAAGCTCTGAATGGGCTTTGGAAACAATTCTGAGATGAAAACATTGGGTTTGACGAAACCTGAAGGCAGATGGGGCAAAACTGGTTGGACTAAGACCTACTGATCAGAGAGCTAACGAATGGGACAATATCTGGAGAACAGATATTCTGCAAGTAGTTCATTGGGGATCAAGTAACAAACAAGAGACATGAAGTTCAGAACAAGGATTAAACTGAGTGTCTTTTTAGGAAATATTGCGTTGGGAATTTATGGGGATTTCTGATTGAACTGTTCATCCCATTAGAAATGCTGAGAAAGTCCTCACTTTTGAGTTGCAAGAAGGGGTGTAACAGTGGTTTAAATGTTGCTTGCAGTATGTAGCTAATTTAATTGCTAAGCTAAAAAGCTAATATAAGACTGATTTGCTTGAATGTCAAAAGGCATTTAGTTTGCTTACAAGTTGTTGCTACTGGTCTTCCAGGAAAAATTGTATATAAGCCAGTTTGAGGGCAGCTGGAGACAGAGTAGTAGAACAATGTTGATATAAGTAAGGAGTCATCAGTGTCCAGCACCACCTGAGAGACGAAGATGAGGTGAGAGAGAA